TTCAATCATCTTAGTATAAAAGTTGTCTTAACTTAAAAAAAATACTCTGCACCAATGATTAATAAAACACATAACTGTGTGCTTTTTAAATGTATTCATGAACAGATTTTTCTACCCTTATTTATTTAAAATAGGTACAGCTATGGGATATATACTTGTAACAAAACACTATAAAATAAAAATATTGCAAAAAATAATCGCATTTCGTAAAGTTGTAATGAATCTCGTGGGTCGCGGGTTGTCCACCCTTGCCTTAGGCTAATGGACCATTCTGACCACTTGCGTCGATGATTTAGTCCAGGCATACTCAACCTGTGGCCGCGGGCCACGTCAAGTGGCCCGTTCATGGCCCATTGCTTTGAGAAATTCATTTATTTATGAAAATTTGGTGGGAAATTCTTTGTTAAAAAATCAAATATATCAATTTTGCTTTTTGCTGTCGATGACTATGGGGGCGAATTGGTTTTTTTTTCTTTCTGATTAGTGATAATAGACAACAGTGGAGTAGCGACCATTTTATGAATGGAACTAATTTTTAACTATCTTTTATATCTTTCAAGCGAAAAATATTGGAAGAAAATAGATGGTTTCGAGACGATTGGGAAACTGACTGTTTTGTAGTGAAAAACAAGCATGGTTCAATTATTCTTTGATTTGTTACGAAAATGTTGTATTTAAAAATATCAATAAACAGGAATCCTTAAATGGTCCTTTTCTTCGAATATCTTTTTCAAGAGGCGATAAATAGATTTCTTGAATAATCTTTACAACTGCAAAAAAGTGTTTTATCAGTGGTAATGTCACACCGGTAACAAAGGCACCCTATGAAATTTGTTATATTATTGGTAATCATATGAAACCATTTACTGATGCAAAAATTGTGAAAGAGTGATTCTTAATCGCTTCCAATTTAGAAAAATTTAGCGACAAAAATATAAAAAATAATAATTAAAAAAAGCGAAATAGTAGTTTTAGTATTTTGATCAATTTCCCCATTTTAAATTTTATATGTTATCTTGATCTTAAAGCATTTCTCCTCCCCCCCTTCCATTAATTCTCATGTTGCGGCCCGCTTGAAATAGCCATCATATGTATGCGGCCCGCGTGAAATAGCTAACATATGTATGCGGCCCGGCGGAAAAAAAGGTTGAGTACCCCTGATTTAGCCCATTCCGCAGTTTATCTCCACTATTCAGTCTATCCAACACATCGTTGTCTGCTCGCATCAGTGTTGGTTTATTCATTGGGCGCTTAAGGCCCAGGACCCGGATAAGCTGGATTTAACCAGATTTTTTGGTTATCAATTTCAATTCGCCAGTGCCAAGGGGGCCTGTGCTTAGGGCTTGAAACGAGCTTAAATCAGTATTTGCTCGTATCTAGAATTCTTTTTTGTATATTCTTTCTTTTAATCACCTAAACAGCAAAGATATCGGTAATAGGATCAAGATGAGTTCGCTATGACACAAGTATGAAAAGAGAGGCAATTTTTTATATGCAGAAAAAACTGAAACAAAGCAGTAGGGCCACTGAAAATTTGACACGGATAAAATAAATGTACGTCGACGGCGGGCGAAAAAAAAAACGATATGATTTTTGCTTATAAATGTTCAAAGGTCTGTGGCGGTGTGATATCTATATGAACTAGTACCAACATCACGCGTTGACGATCGTTTTGGCGTGATTGGTTACGTACTTGCGTTCGGAACGGAAGGTACCCAGAACGAATCTTCCCTCCTTCATTGGTGACCCTGGCCGTGCAAAGGAACCGCACCCTTCACGCGCCGCAATCTATCCACCGCACAAGCAACTAAGCCTTCAAACATTGACGCAATTCTCAAAAGTCATCTCACACAAATGACGTAATCAAACCGTCACACAAATGACGCAATTCTCAAGTCGTCTCACACAAATGACGCAATTCTCAAAGCCGTCTCGCACGAATGACGCAACCCACCAAGTGACGCAACTGCTTACATACTCGCCACGAATATGGTATCGTTGTTCGCCGAAACACTGGCGGGGGAGTATGTGGCGGTGTGATATCTATATGAACTAGTACCAACATCACGCGTTGACGATCGTTTTGGCGTGAATGGTTACGTACTTGCGTTCGGAACGGAAGGTACCCAGAACGAACCTTCCTCCTTCAGGTCTTTAATAATTCTTTTATATTCTTCTATGATATATTCTTTTAAAAAAGTGTTGCATAACAAATGCAATGGATGGCACGGAAGACGACTTCGTGTGGGAAAATGGCGACTCCGGATTTCAATTCCGAAATGTGCTGTGACAATGGGAGTGACGAATCATTTTCGAAACATGATACTGACGGTTAGAGTAATTATAGGTTTATGTATATGTTTGACAATTTTTAATACTGGTGAAATAAATTGTAATTATTATTAACTTCTCTTATTATTTCTCATTAAAAATTTTCAAAAATTTCTAAGTATCGGATATTGATGAACCTTTCACGCAATTTTTTATTTTTTCTGAATAACGTGTTGATAATTGGAGGTGTGGCTTAGAATCGAGCAAATACGGTAATTATTGGAGAATTTTTGCAAAAAGAATATCACAGTTGAAGAAGCAATTTCCTCTTCTACCGATGATGCTTACAAATTAAGACCAGAAATCATCTTAAAGAATTTATGATAAGACATAAGCATGGGATATTTACAATTTTGTTGAAATATGATCGGGTACATTCCTGTTAGATAGACCACTGTGGTGAACCAAAACTTATCTTCTCACTTGAATTGCCGCATACGCGGATTAAAATAGAGAGTTAAATTTACTTCCCAAAGGTGAATTTTAAAATTTAGTTTACATAAAAGGTGAATCTGATTCTATAAAAAAGTCAATATGTTGCTTTTTAAAATTGTGGTGATCTGTTATTACATAATTTTTTTAATTGATGCATATGCAGTTTCAATCTCGAATTTCAGCTAAAGTGGTATGACAAATAGAAAACATAAACACGCTTTTACGCTTTGTAGAAGGTATCTAATTCGGATTTTTCTGAAATAAAAATATTAAAAAAACAGAATGCTAAGTTTTTAAAGACAAAAATTAAATGAATTTGATTTCAACTCAATAGTGCTTAATCGTTTAATTTTATAAATATCTGCGTTTCTAAAATATATATTTTAATATAAATTTTTACAAGAAAGCAGTGACGCACACAAGAGAAGGGGTCCCCAAGTCCGGATCCCCCCCATTAACCTTGATTTTTTCTATGGTTTATAGTCCTTTGTAAACCCAGTGGCTGAATGGTTAGAGCATCGTGCTTCCTCGCCACAGGTACGAGGTTCAAACTACGGGTTGGACAAAGTTTACTCAGCCTTTCATCCCTTCAGTGGGTCACTAAAATGAGTACCAAGCTTGCTTGGGAACTTAACACAGAGGGTTTTGCGTCAGACTGACCACCTGATCGGAACATCTGCTCATGCACCTCAGAGCCCAAGGTCGCATATTCTGAGTTGAACACAGTAGGCCTTGGCCCTCATGGGCTGTCGCACCACTGAGTTAAGTATAGTCCTACGTACGCAATACGTAAAATTTGATTAAGTATTTGTTATTAATAATTAATTTTATTAAGTAATGCTAATTATTTATTCAATAATTTAATTTTACAGTTTTTTTGTTCCTGAAAATCGACAAAATTCAAAGAATATGTTTGGCGGCGTATTGGGGTATCATACGAGAATGGTGCACTTTCGACCCTGGACCCCCTCCCCCTTGCAAAATCCCTGTGTGCGCCCCTGCGAGGAAGTATTCATATTCGTGAATAAAAATAAATAAATTATTCATTTAAAAATGTATATTTGATGAACATAATGAAAAGATAACTTTTTTCTTCAAAGAAGCTTGATATGTATTCTGAAACAAATCTTAAATTTTAGGTTCGACTGAATGTAATTTCTTACATGTATGATAATTATAAGTTCTTTTGTAAAAAAAATAATAATCGAAGGTATTGGTGAAACTGCGAAATGATTAGAACAAATTACTTTAAAACATTGAAAGTTGAATTTTTGAAACATATGTAAAAAAGTCAAAAGAAAATACAATCATAAAAAAAATATATTTTATTAAAACTTTAAATCGGAAGAGCTTAAGAAAATTATGTTCACAATATGCTAATATGCAAATAAAATTAAAAATTAATATTCTCATTTACCTGTCCTCTCAAGATAATGAACATAAGGTTAATTCTATGGAATTTTTATTCCTTCTCAAATCCAGACTATTGCATTTGAGTAAAGTGCAATCAACAAAGATAAGAAACTAAAGATTTCAATCAATTCTATTCTTATTTCTTTTCAATTTTCAAAAAATTTCCATATTAGTTTTAGGGATTTCCTTGTAAATTTTCAGAAATTTTAATATATATTTAAAAATATTTTTTAAAATGAAAGAAAAAATTCAATCAGAATACATTTTATAGTATTCGATTAAGTATCTTAGTCTACATATTAGAAAATAATCAGAAGTTTTTTGAGAGATAAATTCCAGATATGAGAAATAGGAGAAATAATTGATATTCAGGTCATCATGTGAAGTTTATATGCTAATAGATGTAGAGGGTTATTTTAACAATACGTTTTGAGGTATTCATGCTAAAAAGCAATAATTTCTTCAAATTTTAAAGTTTAAAAAAAAGAAATTGTGTCAAAAAATAACTCGAACACACAAAAACAAGTTATATAAAAAAATATCTTTTTATGTCAATTCCTACTTAGGTCAACAAAGAAAAATTTGGTTTTAGTTATTCTTTACTAAATAGTTACAATAAATATAAATATGTATATACATATGACAGAATCACAACATTAAGTGACAAAATAGAAGGCGACTTTCCTTGCAATTTTCCCTTCTATATATGATGTTGGACTATTTTTTTTTTTTGTGTGTGTTACTGTTTATTCATTAATTAAATTTAATTATTCTAATAAAATAGTACAGTAAAAAAGAAATCAAATTCTCAGAAATTAGACCATCCCAGGTGGTATTCGAGACAACGACCTTTGGATTAGAAATCCAACGCTATCCATTGCGCTACAGGGATACAACGAACGATTTTCCTTTAATTATGCTGTTGGACTATTATTTTTGTTGCTATTTATTCATTAATTAAATTTATCTAATGAATTAATATGTGAAGAAACTGTTTTAACATCAAGTGTCATCCACTAAAAGTTTTAAAAAATGTATTTGAACTTGAATGGATGAATATAAAGTACTTTATTGACGACTGAAAATTTGAACACAATATATATATATAGGAGAGAGTGAAATAATAGTAGGAATTGAAAAAATACACTCCCTTTTTTCAACTGTTGATTGAGGGAAATACATTCAGTTCAGTATGCAGCTGTTAACACAAATCCACAGAAAGCATATTATAATGATTGCTGATTACGTAATCAGATCATTTTGTTTAATTTTTCAAATTTTCCATTGTATTTTTTAGCCTCAGAGGGGGAGGGGGAGAAATGATAGCGGAAAATTACAGAGATTACATGTTGTATTTATCTGTATCAATTCATTTGTTTTGAGATTTTCTACGAGGAAAAAAAACTTCTATTGTTTTTATTATTTAAAATAACAAAGATGTATTTTGAAATAGAAGAGTGTAAAGATCAGGCTTTAAATTTATCTTGCCTCATCCATGGAATATGGAAATTTCCGATACGAAAAAAATAGTTTCTCATCATTGTTCTATTCAAAAGTTCGTCTTTTTTTTTAGATGTTTTGCTACCTGTCCTCAGGAACTGCTAAGAAAGTATTTCAATAATCATTCTAGATTACTCATTTTCACATTTAAACATTCTGCTTCTTTTAATATCTGTTTTAAATGTCCACGGTAAAAAAATT